TGTGCCATATTTACAAGAAATAAATGATATTTTATTCTATTCTCATCGAAATTTTTGTAAATTGCAAGTAAAACTTTAACGTCCTCGGTCCGTACACCCTTATCAAAGTAGTCTTTATGATCTTTTTTCCATAAATAGGATATGTCTATCAAGTACAACAAAACTTCTTTTTCTTTACTGAACGACATGGCTGCATAAACTCGAGGGCTTGAGCTTAAGAGGCCAAGTTATCGAGTTGACGAAATTCTCTAGCTCAGCTGGTATAGAGCAATGTACGGTACAGCGTGGTTATGGATTCAAGTAAAAAAATTCTTTGTATTAATAATTATAACTAACTAGTGGAGTTATTCCACAAAAATCTCAATAATACATTCGATCAAAAAGTGACATCAACGTCAGCTTGAGATGACCGTAAAGTTAGAGGCTATGCGTGCGGTGACAAGGTTTCTAAAATTTGTCACTAGATTTCACATAACCAAAAACTAGTCCAAAGATCTAAACTAGTCCAAAAACACAGGAGAATTTCGTCAACTCGATAACTTGACCTGTAGCTGTGTTGGTTAGAGCAGCGCTACAGTACAGCGTGGTCATGGGTTCAAGCCCATCGGGTCGAACAAATTGTCTTTGTGTTCGAGCTTTCTGTTAATAATTATACTTTATTGTTAAAGAGGCATTACCAAATTTTAAAAAAGCTAGTATGTAATTATTTTAAGAAAAACGACAAACAGCATAATAACTTACTTCCTTCTACAATGCAAAGATACTAGTTCACCAAAGCTGATATTAAATGAATTCATTTTAAATTTCGACATGATACAACAACTAAATTTGGAATTTCATTTTTTTTTAATTTGTTTTCTTGTACGTCCACCAGGGGTGGCCGAGATTTGATGACCTCTTCCAAAGCTAAATGTCCTGGTCATGTAGAGAATATATTAGCATTAAATCATTTCAGTATTTTTATACAATTGATCATGTAGGAGGAAAACGATAAAAATTATTAGATTTTAAGAAAAAAAATATATATATATTTTTGGTTTTTTTTTGGCTTTGTAAAACCTACGTAGGAGGAAAACGATTAATTAAAAATATAAGGTTTTAAGAAAAAATAGATAATTAGGTACTTAGATGTAACAGGTTTGCGTTAAGTGTGTGTTATAGTCATTTTTGTAATGTCGAACGCTAGATTTTTTAGAACGCTAGATAAATTAAACATAAAAAATAAAAATAAAATTAAAGTGTATCTTCGGTGACTGACTTGACATTGCCAAAATCCTTCAAGAGAGGCCAGAAACTTAAAGATAGAATAGAATAGAAATTCGTGTCGTATAAATGTGTCCCACGGCTTATTACATGAAATTTATTGTTATTTATAGGCTTAGAATAATAACGCATAGAAACCTAGTCCGCACACGCTAAGTGAGGCAAATTGAAGCGCGCCCAAAGGGCCTACACGAGCGGGCGGGCCTTCAGTGCTCAAGGTCGACTTGCACCGCGAACAGCTCAAGAATTTTAGCTAAAAATGACGAAATGTGCGGTAAATGAGTATAAAAATACGTCAGACAAACATAAAATAGATACTAACATCACATTCCACAACGAAGTAACGCGTTTCAATTTGTATTTTTATATAAATATTCACTAAAACCGAAAATTAACCTACTACTAAAACTAGCCTACATGAATTTGATTTTTGCCTCACTTGTGACAGTTCGTTTGATATGAAACTATCATTCTATGCGTTATTATTCTAAGTTTATAGGTAAAACTCACCTTGCCGTGCAATTCCCGTTCCATTTTGTGTAGGTCAAAACAATTTAGTTTTTCGTAAATCGAACTGCATGGAACCTGGCTAGTTCTTTATGAGCTTATAGTAGGCCCCCTGGTCTCAAACTAGGAAATTTTTATTAGTAACACACTTGCGGAATAGTCCGGTAGACTAGAAATAATTTAGAAAACTTCATTGTGTTCAACCTTTGTATTAATAATTATAACAAACTGGAGGAGTAGGTGTGTAATGAAACATATAACAACAGTAGTAAATCTACTACTATCTACTACAATCGTACAACAAGTGCATAAAACGCGTCATTTTACCCGAGACGAGTAGGTATATGGATACTTAAGTCGAGGGTAAAATGGGTTTTATGAACGAGTTAAGTAAAGACGAGAAAATTAAACAGCAATATTACAAATAAAATATTTAATTCAAATTGAATGTAAAATTACAACGATTAGACATATTTAATGTGATGCTTTTTTATTTTATGAACTAGAGCATAAAATTCTATTTTATGCACTAGAGCCATTGACTTACAAATAAATGGACGACGGGTCTAATACAAAAACCACGAAAAAAATGTCCCAAGTCAACCTATTTAAACGTAGTGACATGTCAAGGAATATGAAAAAGCTAAAACGATGAATTTAAATTGTAATGTCATCGCAGTACTGACTAATTTTGCTTGCTTCGCCGTCAGTCGAACAAACGAAGACTAGAGCGTGAATGACGCTCTGTATACGATTTTAACGCCCTATAAGTTCGGACACTTTAGCGCGGACCCGACGTCCATATAATTGTAAGTCAATGACGAGAGCTTAGAATAAAGGACGAGAGCATAAAATTCTACTTTATGCAGCCTACACTAATAAATACGAACTTTAAGAGCATGAGAAGTGAAAATAATATATATATTTCCACTTGGTATGACAACATTTGATATAATTTATAATTTCAAGTGCAAATATATTCTTTTCGAACGGCAAATAATAAAAAAAACACCAGACAGAATAAAAAGATACAAGGTCGCCAAAGCCGATATTGAAAGAAATTAATTCATTTTAAATTTCGAAAAGACACAACAAATATATTTCGGATTTCGAAATCATTAATTTATCTTGTTTTTGTTCGCTAGAGATGGTGGCCAATCGAGCTTGGTGCTTTCTACCAATGTCCGGGCAACCTCGCCAAATATGTATGTGTACACAGTACGTGTATGCAGTAAATCATCTTGTTTTTTTTAATGCAAATTAACGTATCGACTGGTATTTGATTTGTTTTTGGAGCGTGTTTAGGAGGTAAATACCACAGATATAGAAAAAAAAGGGGAGATAGGGTATGGGGGCGTGGTTCGTGTCGCCTCGAAATGGTCAAAATGAACATATCGAGGTGACACGCCTACAAACATCTCTCGTAAAACGTGAAAATGCCAAGTTGCAGCGATACACCTCGTAAAAATTGGAGTGAAAACAAAAATTTTAAAACCAGTGAGATAACATTCCACCGGCTATATGCATTTTTAGTTACTATTTCTATTATTATTAAATCTTTTTGTCTCCATAGAAATTTCTAGACTCAAATATAGTGATGTTCATTTACGAAGACTGATGTTTATCGACAATAAATTTTTACTGAAATATTTGAATTTCTTACTATGATTTTAGTAATTAAAGTCCCTAAAATATCAAAGCGAAAAGCATTCACGTTAAATTGATTTCTTTTATTTTATTATTATTATTATTATTACTAAACATTTTATTTCGACTAACTTTAACACAACTCATATTTCGGACAACCGTTTCAATTTCATGTCAATTTGGATGTTGCTGTTGCTTGAAGAAAAATTTATGTGTTTTAGATATTTAAATTCCATTATACTCGTAGATTAGACCGCGAAGTTAGTGGGAGTTAATTGCAAGTCGCGCGATTAATAGAGAACTCACCCTGCGTACAAGCGCACCACATTGCACCTGAACCGACCGCCAAAGTGTGCGGGCGGCGACGGCCGCCAAGCGTGCAGGTCATCGCGTCCTGCGCGATTGTATTAGTATCCTGCCGCGGCAACCGCGAACATCCGTCACCACTACAGGCGTAAAACGCGCCGTGAAATGTGCTACTAATTTTACATACTTAACTGTTACATTCTACAGATGCCGCGGTCCCGCGGCAGACGCGGGTAAAAACCGCTCCGTGAGTTCTTAGTGTAACGAAAAATGCGTTTCAGCGCTACCTAACGTGTAATAGTTAGCTATTATATACTAGTAGTATTTTTACTAAAACGGTAAATATATGATTCAACCATTCACCTATTGGTGAATGGCTGAACCAAGATGAAAAAAATACTGAAATATTGTAATATAACTCTTGTTCAAGTGATTGTAAGTTTAATTTTAAAATTGTTTTACGTCGTTTTCACGTTTTAAGCCCTACCCAATCAAAATCTTTAATTTGTGATAGTAGATAATAGAGCGTAAAGTTTGAATTGCACACAAGCTAAAAAGTGGGCGCATCGGCACCCGATCTTGCATAGCGTCATTACATATCCCCCTTTTTTTCTATATCTATGGTAAATACTGAAATTGTAAGGAAAAAAAGATTTTCGTGTTATAGTCATTCATTACGGTTCCTTTGTTTATAATATTTGTCTACTCATTTTTGTAATGTCGAACGGAAGAGTTTGTTTCGTTTTCTACCCATCCATATTTCAAGTTGATTTTTGTAATAAATTTATTGTTTATTGAATGACGTATTACACATATGAATAACTAAAGACTAATTATGCGAATAAATGTAAAATGTAACTCATATACCTAAACTAGGAAAATCCTGTATTTCAGGAAAAAATACTAATTATACAGGTGAATATACGATTAAATTATGAACAAAAAAAATAATTATACAATAAAATGCAAATCATGTACCTATACGCTTAAATGAGACAACATTTATTTTGGGATAATTAATAAATTCTCTGTATCGTCGTAGGACATATAAAAAGCTAGTTAAAAAATAATTAAAAATATGATCACAAAGCATGCGTCTATAGGGAGAAAATTTATAAAGGGCTTGTGGGAAGAATGTGCTTTTGTCAATAAGTACCTTGGTACGGTATCGTACACGGGACCTCAGAGATGGCGACACTATGAAAATAGGTATGCAAAAAATGTACCTAGGTACAGAAAACGTATCAATGAATAACACAACATTGGTATGTCATTATATTTTATTAATCTCAAGTCGTCTCAAAAGCTTACATATCAAAATACAAGACACAAAATTCAGTATTACCCAGCACCATAGTTTGTGTTGTTGCCATAGATCACCATTACTTTTTTCAATTTACTCTCATTAACATAGTTTAGAGTGACACAACGAAAAAATTATTTGAGAAAAAACAACAGACTATGATACAGCATGTGGAAATGGTTTCTTTACATGTCTGTGGTTTCTTGTTTAAAAAACTTATCTGTATACTTAATAATACAAAATGTAAATAGTAAAAAAAGTAAACAGGAAACAAAACACACAAAATATTAAGTACTAACTACAAATAGGAGTGCAACGAAAAGAAATTTCAACAAAATTACATTAAATTCTTGCTTTTGACTAATTCTACAATAAGAAATTGAAATTACTGCACGTAACAATATTCATTATTGTGGTTTCTTTTTGACATTTCTCTACGGTGACATAGACATTTTGTTTCTTAAGCGAGAATCGGTCTTGATAGCTTTTTAGAGAGACGAATCGAAATTCCGTCTTTTTTATTTATTTTTTTATATGATGCCCAGTAATGGTACAAACAAGTGGTACGTCTGGTAGTAAGCGACACGCCTGTGTAATACGACAAATAATAATAATAATAATCTTTATTTTTCTCTATACAAAGGGTACAAAGTTTTATAATGTAATTTATATGAAAATGCTTAAGTATTAGAGTACCTTTGCAAGAGACTGGAGTCTATCCTAGGAACTAACCTGTGTGACAGATCTCCAGGCTCTCACCCAGCCTGATAAAATCGTGTTGAAAAAGCAGTTGCAATGTAAATAAATTACAAACATCAAGTTTTACAAATATTGTAAGCTATTACAGAAAATGAAAATATAATAATACTCATAAAATGATGATATGGATGGTGGCGTAAGTACAACTAATGATCTAAACCCATGTTAGGATTGAGATAACAAGTTGTTGTTCTCCAAATAGTTCGTAAATTGTCTGTTAATAAATCAAAGTGTCATTGTATTCCACTAAGCAAGTTTTGCTTAATAAAGTGAAACTGTAAAAATTCCAAAATAATCGTAGTCAGGACAGTTTAAATTTAGTTAAATCTCAATATTAAAATTTTAAGACTTAATAGTCTCACGGATCCAAGAATTATAATCGTACACCTTGGTATAAACATAAGGCACATTCTCCTTTCTACACATACCAAAGCTGACAATACCCACAATTTCAAAGACCTTGCTTCCGTCAGGTTTAGAATTCTCCCACACGAGAGGACCTCCTCCGTCTCCAATGCAGGAGTACTTGCCTTCCTTACCTCCAGCGCATATTTGACCCTGCCAGAGTTCGGCTTTATTATTGTATGCGGTTTGGCATTCCTGTAATTTATAGAGAAAGGTTTATAATATGGCGATGTCGTCGATAGCAAGTTAAAATTTATGTGGTTTGGTGGAAATAATACCACGGTATGTTCTTTAAAGAAATTTTTTGGACATATGCGATTTTTATGCATACATAAGTTCACGTGATGTTCGCATTATGTCGTGACGACAGATAGTCGTGCAGTTTAAAGTGTCGTGGCTTGTATATTTAAATAAAGTTGTTCACACATAGAACAACAAGATTAACTGTCGTTCACGACTTTTTTGACGTTTCGAAGACAGATTGTCGTGACAGTGGGAAGAACTAAAACGACAATCATCAGACAATAAATAAAACGTCACAATAAAAATGTGACGACAGATAATCGGAGCTATAATAGGAGGAGATAAACGACAAGGCAACTGCCGTGAACCGATAAATTGTTGTCACGGTCTAGTAAGAATAGCTAGACACGACAGTCATTCAAACATAAAATAAACGTCCACAACACAATTATGTAGTCGTGATATGGAAACAGGCTAAACGCAACACTCATCCAAAGATAAATAAAACGTTACGACATATTGGGAACGCGCCCTAACTGTAAGTTCAAACTAGATTAATGAAACTTTATGAACTTCGGGTCACCAATTCAGGTGCTCTTCCTTGGTAGTTCAGTAGCTGCAGGTAGGTTTCAGTGAAACGCTGATAATGCGAGTTGGAACTGGTTTCATTCAGAATGCATTTTTTTTTAAGGACACTGCAGTTGGCCGCTGATGGCCTTGACTACGCCACCGGATTAAAGGGCGAGCTGAAGGGTCATAACCCGTAAATAGATTTAAACTAAGTAGCGGGGCTGAGGGCGCCCAAGTGGGCACGGACCTTGCTCAGGGCACTACTGGACACTTCCGCCAGAAGAGCGTGCTACAGGGGAGAATATACCAGCGTACGTGCTGAGATGAGGTACGACCTCGACGGCGACGATGGTTGGTGCGTGATGTTCCCTGAGGGGGTCGTAGTTGGATGCAGCCACCACGAGGAGGTTGAGGTGGTGAGGAGCAGAGTCGAAGTATTTCCTCGATGCCTGTTTCATGAATTGGGCTAATGTGGGGAGCCGTAAATCTATACGGAGGTTAGCATTGCGCGGATGCAGGTTGTGTACAATCTCTCCTTATTATGAATGGAGAATTTGCTCAGCTTATTGAGAAAGGGGTGGAGTCGGCTCATAACAAAGTGGGCGCGATCGCGGACGGTTTTCACGTGTGCTTTGATTGACAGTTTCCTATCGAGCGTAACTCGTACCTATTTGATCGTGTCCACCCAAGGGATTAGGCGGCCAAAGGGCGAGATCGGGGCGAGGTTTTGTACCCTACGACTGGATAGGTTACTTCGCCACACTTTTGTCGGGATTGACTTCAGAGACGCTTTCATACGAGCTTTGTTGTGACATACCGATCCTATTTCACCCCTAGTGGGTATACTAAGTAAAGTTTTCTTAATGGCTAATACTTATACGGAAGCTCGTAAGGCATATCTTTTTCATCGCCTCTTGGCAATATAGGTACTGTGTACGATATTTCAGTTGTTTAGGCTTTAAGCGTACCTAACTCATATCTCGTTGGGGGACGTGTTGTATACGGAAAGTCGGAAAGAAGTATCCGTAACCCGATCGCAGTACAATTTCCAGATGTATTGACTATGGAAGACGTCTTTCTTTACTTCTAAATATTGTGTATCTTAACAATTATGGTTTTTATGGTACACTCTTTGAAGTCAGCGCGATGGATCCAGCTTCAAAATTGTGTAAAAGTTCCAAGACCATTGTGTCTCTTCACTCCATTATTTAGACAATGCGTCTAATCAGTCCGAGAACTGCAGTCGAAATGAACAACACTAGTCCGACCACGCAGCACCGAACGATAACTTGTAAGCAGCAGGAACATTCGCGACGATAGCCGACAATCGTTGGATACCTGCGTGTATCGTGTCCATCGTGTCATTGAGCGAAGCTTCTGACGACAGACGCAATATGTAATATACAATTCTTAAATCAATACTCACAGATAGTGGCACAAACGGCAGTTTCACGGCCACCTTCACGTCACTAGGTTTATCACGAGAATAGGCAGTGGCCCAACCGGCCTCAATCAGCTGCAGGCCGGAAGGCGGTGATAAAGTTATGTCGGATGTAGGTAGGCTGATTGGACGGATAAAATCTGAAACGAGGATAATTTAAATTTTTTATAATTAAAACAACGCTCGAACACTTTCATCAAACACAAAAATTTATTTCGATCCGGCTGGAATCGATCCAAAGTCTCCCAGCAAACCGTGGCAGACGCTACACCAACTAAGCTACGGAACGAACCAACAGACCTCGCGAATTTTTCGATGTGCTAGTTGCAGATCTTTTTTTTTGGTTTTTAATGATTTTTTTGCCGTAGTACCATCTGTGAGAAATCTATCAAAGTTTTTCTTCACTCAGCGAGGTACCTTTACAGCTACCAGCCGCTGACTATAGATATGACTTTAATGATATAATTTATGAAATTATGAAATATGATTTGGGTCACAGCACTGTTATACGAGTAGATATACTGCAGCAGCAGAGATATCTCAGTTGATGCACGTGCGTAAACAAAATTTTGAATTTCAGTTATCAGCATGAACCTGCATGTTAATTACTTTTTAAGTTGTATAATATTTGTGTTTATAATTGAATACAAATATATTTATACTTCACATTTATTACATCGTGTCATAAAAGAAAGCTAGTTTCTGCAGTGACCCGGCCGGGGATCGAATCCGGAACCTATGAGATGGCGGCGTTGTCATGAAAACCGGTGTGCATGCCATTCGACCATGGAGGTCAAACAATACTCGTTTTGAAGATAAAGGAAAACATTGGATCGATTTATATTCAATTTGCCTGCCACATTGATGAGTACTTCAAACAGGTTATGAGCTGGATACACTGTTATTGTTGTTAGCTTACCGGTGTAAGGCGCCGATTTACTCATACGTATCAAAGCAATATCATGTTTCCTAGTCTTCGTATCTTCAGGGTTGTACTCCGGATGTGCGATGATTTTTTCAATAGGTATTACGATAGCGCCATCATTACAATCAGAAGCGCCTTCGTCGGTGGATGTTACACAGTCTGGCTGGTCTACCTCGTTTGATTTGTCATATTCGCCTAGACGCACATTGCGGCTAGAATAAAGCAGGTTATGCACTTTATGATATTAGCACAAATATTAGCTACAAACGTTCAATAAGAGATTAGTTAGTAATTGGTTAAATTAATAGGCTATACCTAAATAAAGATTTTGTTTAATTGTGTACATATAACACACAATTTAATAAACTAAGATCAGAGGATTAAAAACAGAAAAAATGTATTCGGATTCTTGTAAATATAAAGCAAGTAGAAAACTGTAAACCGTACTTCCAAAAATTTAATATACTAACATTGCTAGGTATATACAGGGCCTAGAGCACGTCAAGCTTTACACTTAAGACTTAAATCCAACTCTATGCTTACGATAAGAACGGTCCAAAGTACAAAGTGTCAAGCTTGATGTGCTCTTGACTGTACATATTGGAAGTGTGCAAATTTATAAAAAAATACCCTAATTTTTATAATAAAGTAGGAGACGTCCTCGACACCACATTCCGCTAAATAAAAATAACTTAATACAAGCGATGTCTACATTGAAGATACATAGTTCCGGACCTCTTATGCCAATAAAAAATTATAATAAACTCCCAGAATATTTAAAATTAGAATCAAACGTAAACAAATTCATAAATGTATTGAAAACACTATTAATTTCTAAAAGTTATTACGATGTGGACGAGTATTTCCAAGATAAATTCCCCTCTCCCTCTTTATGTTGCGATGCCTGACACGGTGCACGTGTTTTTAGTGCATAAGTACCTATATTCATTTAGTACGTCTCTTTCCGTCGAGTCACCGCCGCGGAATCTCATGATTAAGGACCACGAATTGGCTCGAAACATGTCGTGCAAAAATTCAACTTAAATACGTGAGTTATCCGTTATTTTTAGTTAACATGTCTGAGTCTCGCGGTGGTTTTCTATCTATAACTTATCTAAGTTTTATTATAAAAAGTGTCACTTACGGAGGCGAAATTTTTGTTATTGGGCCAACAACACAATATGTAGCTGTGAGCACATATCGATCGCTGATGAGACTCCCTCCGCAAGAAAGTGAGACAGTGTTGTCCTTAGGGTACTCGATCAGGACCAACCAAGGATATTCGTCTATATTTGTTTTATCGCCGTCTAAAATACATACGTAGATACGTCAAATTAGATAATTTATCTATCTACTGCACTGCAGATTGTTAATAGAGACCAATAATACACAGGGCGCACTATAAGTTTCCGGAACTAACCACTTACATAAACAATATTTAAAAAATATTTAGAACATTTGAAAATTGAACTCTTTGGCTGTAGAATACAGTTTGTTTCATCTGACTGTCACTTGTTTTTACACTGTGGCGTCATTTTAGAAATTGATTGTCTACATCACCATGCATTTAACTCATGAAAATTTTCGAAGTATGATTTCCTACGTCTTTAAGCATCTTTAAGTGAAATTTAACAGCTCAGCGGAGATTCGCTCAGCTTCAAACTGCTTTTGGCGATGAAGCACCATGCAAGACGACTATTTATAGCTGGTTTGCAGAATTCAAACGCGGTCGTGTGAATCTCAATGACGAATTTCGTGATGGTCGCCCGTCCACTGCTGTGAACAACAAAAACATCGATGCTGTGCGCCGTATGATCAAAACCGACAGGCATGTGACATATCATAAGATTCGGGCATCTTTAGGCATAGTCATGAGTCAAATACAATCAATACTACACAAACATTTGGGGTGTGAAGAAGCTGTGCTCTCGGTGGATCCCACACAATTTGACTGAGGCTCAAAAAACGGATCGCGTCACTTGGTGCAATGCCATGCTTACCATATTCAACGAAAGGGCGTCAAATTTGGTGTGGGACATAGTAACAGGTGACGAAACATGGATTTACAGTTACGATCCCAAAACAAAGCAGCAATCGAGCGTATGGGTCTTTCGAGATGAGCCGAAACCAACCAAAGTGGCGCGCGTGCATTGTGTCTCTAAGTGGATGATTGCTTCTTTTTTTTAATAAAACTGGACACGTGGCTACTGTTGCATTGGAGAATCGTTGTACCGTGAATGCAGCAGCGCTGCAGCCGCGCGGCGGCCGCGTGGTGGCCGCGCGACTGTCACTTTTCATACAATTCTAGACGCGCTGCAGCAGCGCGACAGTCGCGCGGCTAACAGCAGCTAATTTGAACGCGCCCTAACACTAACGGAGAATATTTTGAGAAACAATAAATTCATTTCTGACCATTTATAGTATTTTTTCTTATTCATTCTGGAAACGTATAGTGCGCCTCACGTAGCTCCCTTTTCACAGTCACTCTATCGCGCGTGATCAGGAACGTACAGGTTAGCGCTATGGAAAATCTGCACGCGCAATCAATTTACCTGTTTGAATTTTTTTAAGCTAGCGTTCTTTCGTGCGCGATTGGTCGTGGTACAGGACAGACCACTTGAAATTGTCGCGTACTGGATTGCGGTCTTTCCCTTGTCCTTCCAACGTCTTTACACGCGCGCTCAATTATTGCTGTATCTCGCGCGATAAAGTGGATAGTGTATGTGTAAAGATCGCTATTAATAATAATAATAATAATCGTTGTTACGGACGGCCGTACGCGCCTGGCCGGTCAGAGCTAGAGTCCAGAGCAGAATGATTAATTCAAGAGCTCTGATTGGCCGAGCGGCGTAGCGACCCATTGATAGGACCAGTACGATGTGGGAGACACCGTACTGGTATAAATATAAGCGATTATTGTCATTCGATTCAATCACTTTTTGTAATCACTCTTAGAAACACTTGTTGTCTTGTTTTGTAAGTCAGATTGACATTTACATGAATATATACAGTCCACTTCAAATTAAGGAGTTTCATTGATATCCAAGGAAGAATAAAGCAGGAGTTCAGTTTTGGCTGAATTCACCACAATCGTCTTTATGCCTCTTTACAAACGTTTTCCACTAAGGTAATAGTCTTATGGCTAACTTACAAAGAGAAATTGTAACTGAAAAACCTTTGTAAGAGACAGGAGTCCTTACTGGGTATAAACCTGTATCACACATCACCTCCGGACACAACAATTGTAGAGAGCAAAGTATTTTAAATTTAAGTTAACTCATAAGAATTTCATGACGTTAATGTATTCTAATACAATAATTATGTTTTAATGTAAAATATGGTATAAGCTGAGAGTGACATAGTATATAAAACATTTTCATATATATGATTTTCGTTTTTTTTTATTTTAACTCGCAACTGGCAAAAATCATTTGAAGAGATCAACCACACAAAATTGCCTGGTCTCAAACCAGGGGATTCCCTCCGAGATACCTACTACCCACTCAAACCAGAAACAATGAAGTTTTCCACATTATTTAGTTCATTTTTACAAATTGCCGTACCGGGAATCGAACCCGGACCTTTATGTCCAGTGCCTACAGTGTAAACCGTTGGACCACTTAGATCGTCACATTATGCGCCCAGTCGCATGAGGAGCAAGTTGTCGCGCGACCGCCCAGTTACCACGCCTTCGTGTACATTAATGGCGAGTCTGAATTCTATATAATAGGCAACAACATTTAAATTCCTCTGAATTAAACAACAAGCCAGACAACGCCCGCGTGGCCGGGACGCTCATTTAAGTTAAAACGTAAAAGCTAAATAAATAAAGCCTATTTTGCCGCGTAGATCGCCGACTATCTTGAATGTTACACAAACAAAATAATTGAGCAATTCATTGACTTACAAATAAATGGACGACGGGTCTAATACAAAAACCACGAAAAAAATGTCCCAAGTCAACCTATTTAGACGTAGTGATATGTAAAGGAATATGAAAAAGCTAAAACGTTGAATTGAAATTGTAATGTCATCGCAGTACTGTCTAATTTTGCTTGCTTCGCTGTCAGTCGAACAAACGAAGACTAAAGCGTGAATGACGCTCTGTATACGATTTTAACGCCCTATAAGTTCGGACACTTTTTAGCGCGGACCCGACGTCCATATAATTGTAAGTCAATGGAGCAATAGTTCATTATATTCACAGTACACGCTGATATATTGCACAAGCCGGGAAGTAAGGGATTGCCGGACGAGTATGAGTTACCTAGAGGTTGTATTATACGAGTCAGGCAACCCCTGTATCCGCCGAGGTGTATGTAGTGCTTTTCTCAAACAATGCGAGGAAATAATAAATGACTAAATAATGGAAGAGAATGTATAAAATAGTATTCAAAAGTAAAACAAATCTACCATGACAAATTTTGCTTTTTGTTTTAAATTAAGCAAAGTACACTACAGTACATTATTGCTTTTTCGCTCTTCCAACTAGAACTAATTTTCACGAAGAAAATATAAACAAATACGAAAAAAATAAAATTAACAGAATGAACTTCAAAGTATGTACTTTCGTTTATTTTACCGATTTTTTTAAGTACCCCGTGCAAATACATTCGTGCACCATAATTAAATGCAAAATAAGTAATCCATAGACCATATTTCTTCTAATTTTTGCAATTACAGAACCTGATGATAATGAGCAGTTAGCTGTAGGACAGTTTTTCTTTAGCTGGTTTACATAGCTACTTTGTTAGAGATATATTTAGTAACTCGTGTAACTGGGCGCTTACAGTGGGTAATGGATTTTGTAAACTTGTTTTGCCGGCCTAGACAGGCTCCATAAATAACAAACTTTGGGATTTTTTATTTTTTATTTTTTTGAAAGCAATTTTTTTATTTTTTTATTTGTAGCACGACATACTTACTTACATAAGTCAGGTTCTAGTTCAAGCAAGGAGGTTACTTAAGTTCGAAATTAAAACATTAAACATAAATTTTATTGCAATTCAGACACATACTATTTAAATACTTGTTATTAAGAATGTATTATAATTGATTTTAATTATTTTCTGTACAAAAATGTGTTTGCTTTTTACAACATTTTAGTTCGAATCTATTGAAGAATTAAAAAAAAAACATTTGCCAAATCAGCAATTGTTGTGTTGTGAACCATTTTATATTGTATTTATTGCCTCGCAAATGTGTCATTGTATGTAACATGGACGGTAAAAAATTAGAAAACTCGAGTTATTAGAGCCCTCAAACACAGCCTTTGACTTCGGGCTTCTAATAGACCCTCATTAATAATTTCTTATTTTACCGTGCTTCACACACAATGTACTATAACTAAAAGTAATAAATAAATTATAGAATACGTATATGACCATAATTTCGAATAAAAAGGGTAAAATGAATTTTTAACTTACATCCTTCTACAACGCAAAGATACGAAGTCACCAAACCCGATATTAACAGAAACCAATTCATTTTAAATTTCGAATAAGTTTGAAATGTTTAAATCTATTTTTCAAAATTTGGGTTTTGCAATGTGTCCGCTGAAGATGGCAGTCAAAGGGACATTAAAGGTTTCTGCCAATATTATCCGGTAAAGCAGCCTTATTAACATTGAACGGCCGTTAAATAAACGTTAGCTGTAAATCATTTCGTTTTATGCGTTTAATGATCTTAACGACTGGACCTCGTATTTAAACAAGTATGCGTAGGAGGTAGTGCTTGCTCCCGGGAATTCCCGGTTCCGAAATACCGGGAAATTCCGGTACTGCCCAGGAGCAACCAGTCTCGGTATTCGCGGCACTCCCGGTTATAGCAAGGAAATACCTACCTAATGAGCTATGAAAAATATCGGCCGTTGGCAACTTTGCACGGGCGCACGTTACTGCCATTTTAGGCTCGAAACACAAAACTGCGAATCGGCTCGATGCGAATTGCTGCGATGCGATTTCGTGCGGCAAAGCGTCTCATTGCCACGGTTTGGGTGATCCTTCGACGATCGTCAACGGCACTAAACGTATTTTTTAAACTAGGCAGCGACAAATTAACATCACAAGAATTTGCGAATTGCTCCGCATGGCGCATTCCTGCGATGTTAATCTTCTTTATGTTTTTTTCCTATATTTGATTATCAATAACACCAGTGCAATACTCTTTTTACGATCCATGTCGCTATCTAGTTATATCTAACAAAATACGTCCAGTACGGTTGACAATCGTCAAAAGATTGGTTACCTGAACCGTGGCAGTGAGATGCCTTGCCGCACGAAATCTATACAACCTCACATAAAAACAGTCTATACAACGTCAAATGGCTTTGGTAATTTCCGCATAACAATGATAGTGTCGAATCAACCACATTGGAAAAAATATATAGCAAAATTGAGGGTATACATTGATAACTGTATGAAAACACGATTCCTAAAAACTTTCACAATAGAAAGAAAACACAAACTTGACTCGAAATTTTACAAGAAAACCGCTGTATTCATCAGGGAATTTACTATAGAATACGTATATTTTTCAAATTGCTTTAATTTACGAAAGCGAAGTGCGTCGCTACTCAGTCGCATGCGTGGCAGCACAAACAGCATCCTGAACACATTGACAGATAGATGGGAGTCCCCAATGTTGTGGCGGTGGATGCGTTTGCACACCGCTAGCGATTCACTGCTCTAACATTGGCTGGGCAGTTATCCTCCCGCCTATTAAACAAATTATTATTTAATTATTATTAGTATGTCTTTATCTTTATTTTTATGTTAAAACTAACACTAGCTTAAGTACTTTTTTATTAACAAATATTATGGATCACGTTGTCTGAGAATAAAATGATTATTATTATTATTTAATTTGGTTTGTAAAAAAATAATTCTGAAATAAAGCCAGTGTCCCTGTCGCTGGCTGGACCCAAGCAAAATGAACCGTATTAGTAACGGGAAAAACTTGGATTCGAGCTGAGGTAGTATCGATTCTTAAACAATGTGATTTCGCGATATTTGTTTTATATTAAATTTAATAGCAATTATTCTCAAATAAACATTTTTGAATAAAAACCTTTAGTTTGATCAGAGAATGAAGTTTTTCTTTATTATTCATGGTATTAATATAACGTAAATTGTTGACTAGGTACGGATACATTTTAAGCTTTTCAAGAAGTACCGGTAATATCGAAAGCACCGTTACCGGCAATCAAAATTTTAGGAACCGGACCGGTTCTGCAAGCTCTAGAAGAATACCTATTAAAAATATTATTTTACCATATTATGAAGTAATCGCCTATTTTTTCTCACATAGACAAGGAAAAAATAGCCGATTACGTAATATGGTGTAACAGGTTTGAGTTGTGTTTATTAGGATTCCTTTCTTTATATTGTACATTGTGTTTTTACAATAACTAACTGAAAATTCGAAATTATTGACGAATTATAGGTACATACATTGTCCCAATTGAAAATAGTTAAACTTTTTTCATTTATATATAAGTAAGTAAGGTGGCAGTACTTCCCGAGACGAGCTCTTTAACGAGGAGCACTCACACCCACAAAAAAATATTTAAAAAATCGGAGTCATTTTTGTTTTGTGATATAAGCATTAAAAAAAACAAATGTTGAATAATGTTGAAAATGTACGCCCTGTTCACCATTTTGAAGTACCTACTACAATTACAAATTTGCTAATTTTGCTATTCTAGTTTTTGTAACGGTAACCCAAATAGCCCAGTTAATGAACACAATGCCAAAGAAAGCCCGAATTGCTAAAGTTTCAGCACAAAAAATGTTGTATTTAATTTTTTTCTTTAAATTTTTAGAAGATTTTTTTTAAGGTAACCTTGACACCCCATGCTGTTTAAAAATGTACCCAGATTACCATGGCAACTTCTTACTAAAGTTGGTGCAACTAATCAAGATTCTAAAATGGTATAAAACCTTCTGCGTCATGCTTCTTGGAAAAAATAATCTTGGTTTTTCTAAAAATAAGCCAATTTAAAAAGGTTACCTTTTCTATGTGAAAATGACTTCCAGTGCCTCTAAGGTTAATTATTTATTAGGTTTTGATATCCATGTAGTCGAAGTTAGACTAACTGATAAAAATGGTAAGTATGATTGAATGAGGCAAACAGTCTCAAAATTCCACATTTCATTTCAAGCCTCTTGCCACGGTTGTCAATTGAATCCAAGGTGGCCAGTTGGTATGTAGCAGAGCCATCCTAAAGGTGGCAGCAGGACTCCATACATGACCGGATTTGCGCTTGGTACAGCTGAAGCAACTGTCCCGGTGTGAAGTAACGCCTCATTCTGGGAAGGATCCCAAGGTTCCTCGCTGCATGTTTGGCCATGGATTCAACGTATCTGCCAAAGTACAAATTGGACGCCAGGTCCATTCCAAGTACCTGGAAACAGTCGGCTATCAGTATGGATATATCCCGAAAATTCGGAATCAGCTCAAATCGACTCCGTTTTGTGGATAATAGACACGCCTGCGTTTGGTAGCGTTAAATTCTCTCTCTCTCAATCGGAGACTGCCTTGAGTGTCGAATCACTGAGGAGGTCGTTGTCTTCAAGGTACGACAAGAGACGGTTGTTGAGTACACGTTCCATAGACTTGCAGAGTATGGAAGTGACTGAGATAGGTCTATAGTTGACAGAGTCAGCTCTGCTTCCCTTTTTCGGCACAGGTTGCACGTTTGCAAGCTTCCACGACCTGGGAATTACACCAGTGTCAAGTGAGAGGCGGTACAGGCGTAGGGATGTGAGAACAGGAGACAACTCAGGAGTACAGTTACGTATGACTAGTGCTGGAATTCCATCTGGCACGCTAGCTTTATTCAAGTCCAGAGTTCTAAGTACCTCTTTTTGGTGTATGCGAATTGGCGCCATAGTGCAGCCAGCCTGAGGTAAGATGAGATCCAGACGTGAACTTTTTGCAAAGAGTGAGGCAAAAAGTTTTGCCTTGTCACCTGCAGTATAGGCCAGCGTGCTGTCCGGCCTCAGCAGAGGTAACACTTAGAATAATAACGCATAGAAACCTAGTCCGCACACGCTAAGTGAGGCAAATTGAAGCGCGCCCAATGGGCCTACACGAGCGGGCGGGCCTTCAGTGCTCAAGGTCAACTTGCACTGAAAACAGATCAAGAATTTTAGCTAAAAATGACGAAATGTGCGGTAAATGAGTGTAAAAATACGTCAGACAAACATAAAATAGATACTAACATCACATTCCACAAGGAAGTAACGCGTTTCAACTTGTATTTTTATATAAATATTCACTAAAACCGAAAATTAACCTACTACTAAAAATGCCTACATGAATTTGATTTTTGCCTCACTTGTGACAGTTCGTTTGATATGAAACTATCAGTCTATGCGTTATTATTCTAAGAGGTGACATAGATGAATAGGCGACAAAAGTTAGTTAGTGACTTTATATTTGAAGATGTTTTGTATAAAAAATTAATTTGTCAATTTCCGGCGTCACCATTTTCACTACGCATACGCAATATAGAAGCGTGCGCGTGCGTACGATCGGAGCGCCTGACAAACTGATAAAAATTTGATTTACTATAGAACATACGTTATTTTATTTTTTCCTTTGAAAAAGTATTTGTATATTGGTTTTTGTAAAAACAAACACCGATATACAAATTCGTTTTAGGATCGCGCTCTCGCCGCTGAAACGCCGCCGCCGCCGGTTAGTCTATTATCGGCGCTCATGTCTACTTGCTGCCCCGTCTCACTTTTACACCCTGTCCATTATTTGTAATAATTATTATAAATTTGTATAACAAACGCATTATTGCTTTTAATTTTGTTTTCTGAAGAGTTGCGGACTGAATTATAATACAAAGACAACAAAACAATATTAATCTCTTCAGAAGATATATAAGGCATGAACATTATATTAGAAATTTGAGTTAGACGTGTTTAGACTCAACCCAAAAATAGTACGGGAAAATGATTTACATAAATACAACAAAATAATAAATTGTGGTATAATAACGTTATAAAGGAACGTTTATATTTATTTTAGAATGGCAACATTTTTATAGCGACGTGCACTCGCAATAATGTTAATCGAAAATGTTTAGAATTAACTGTAATAATTTATTAATTGGATGTTTTTAGTTAAACAAAAAGGGTCCATTGCACAGCCAGTCACTTTTGAGATATGGCAGTTGGAAGTGTTTCTCAATCTTGTTTTATTTTCAAAACTTATAACGTCATGTAACTCCTGAGATATTTATTTCTGTTTAAATGTTGGATTTTTTTGCTGACCTAAGAGGTTAGACTTTAGGAACGTTTTGGTACGTACATAATACTCATTTTTTGATAAATTTGTGGATTGGATCCTTTTTGCATAACTACGTCCAATTATGGACGATATAAGAACTAAATTGATTTAAATTTTTGCTAAATTAGTTATAGGCTAATTATTTATCTTAACTTTATAATTTTATAATCTATATGGTTTCCCGTGAAATACTAATTATTTAACACAGAATAGCTTCTTTAAACAAACATTTAATTAGTTCTGCAACGTTAATTGAGTGGTGGTGTGCATAAATAGAGTAATGTAACACCTAAGGATCGATTAAAAATCATTGATACATTGCACCTTTTTATGCCGTCAGGCGCAGGCGCAATCTATTTATTTGTGAACTTATGGGAAACATTAATTACCTACGATATTTACTCATCAAGTAATTAGAATTTTAGGCACTGACAGATTCGTATAGTTGTTTTTATCGATTTTTTATCGAAATTTACAAAAAGATTTTATTACATCACTAATCTGTCAAACTCAAGCCGAAAACATTATTGCCAATTTATGGAAAATTCTCCGTTGCCCCGAAAATTGCGGGGAATTTCAACTCGATTGGGGAATTTGAGGGGGTTTGCGGTATCTGAGGAAAATGCAAGGATTCTAACTTTTTATAATTTAATTTAATCCATCGATTGTTGATGATTCTCTAGTTTGATGGTTACTGATAAAAATACTATGATGAACGACATCGATATATTTTTCAACATCGCACATGCCTCGCTTAAACATATAGAATTAATTATTCGGTAGGATCAGAGCACTTCTTTCTAGTAGCAGTAGATCTCCTTGTGAAGGAGTTGGTCCAGGGAAGTACTGCCACCTTACCTATTTCTACTTTACCTATTTCTGCTGCCAAGCAGTCATGTCACCTTTACTTTGTTCCGATCTTGAAGGGTAAGGGTCCTGGTGAAATTACAGGCACATGAGACTTGTCAACTTACGTCTCAGGGTCACGGGCACAGTGGCAGTGCCCCTCAGATGTTTGCGATTTAAAATTCTGAGTGGCACTGCTTGTGTTATGGACAGGCGTGTAACTTACTATCAGGCGCACGAGTTGTTAGTCCTGTCACTTGACATTATATAAAAAAAACTTGGTTATATGAATTATAAAATTATCAGTCGTGCACTAAATGCGCGACACTTCCTCCCGTTTAGGCCGGTCCTCGGTGTACAGAAAAACGAAAGCAATTGCTGAACAAAGCCGAGCAGTTGATACTTCCACATCACAACTTATCACTCGTCAACTTTGAATTTTGAGTTTGTTAAACCTTTGTTACATTTTTAAGTGATGTATTTATAGCATTTACAGAGGACTCGAGATATTGCGAGGAATTTGTGGGGAATATGAGAACTTTGCTCATCATAAATTTGGGGATTTTGAACAATTGTTATTGGCAACTCTGGTTGAAAAAAGAATTGTAAACTCAAACCTTTGACTTGACGCAAACGCTTTTTTCCGCGAACGTGATGTCTGTGTTATTTTTAAAGATGTTTCTTACAATTTTAATTATTAACTAACTAATTGCCGGATGCTATGTGCAGTTAAAATATGTCTGAAGTCGTGAATACTGGGGGCATTAGGCCCGGCAGTATTTATAGGATTTCGCTTGAAAACTTTGTGTGAGTAATTTGGTTCCGCGCCTTTTTAATATTCCATGTTTTGTCAATATTTTTGTTGATTATAAACTTTATTTCGCGTTCTAGGACATATAAGCAAGTGGAATTGTACCCTGGGCCGTCGTTAAATATGATAATTGGACCGAACGGTACGGGAAAATCTACTTTTGTTTGTGCAATCATTCTTGGACTTTGCGGGAAGACGAGCGTTATTGGCAGGGCTAAAAAGGTTCGTTTCAAATTGTGTTTTGTGTATCTGAGTATTGTTTATATTTCTTGAAATTGTACAGTCATTTGAACAGACTGAGTAAGGTGAGTTGGGTAGTGTAAGGTGAGCTCAAACAGTAAGGACCCTATCTTTCCATAATTAGGTAGCGTGTAGCACAATGAGTTAGAATGAGCACCTACTCAATATATGTGTTTATTGAATAGTGTTTTTCTTCACCATTCACTAGAACTTAAATTTGAAACTGTTCATCGCTTGTTGTATCTTGTCGATTGTGTTTTGTTTATCTTATCTCTGACATTTATCTTTGAGTATGTAGAGTGCATGCCTTACACAATATTTTAATTAGCACCTCTAATTTTTGTAAGGGCAAATTGATGCCTATTAAATCTCTTGTATCTATAAAATCAACTTTGTAACCTAACAATGCTGCCGTCCACTAACTAAAATGCAGCTAAGTAACAAAATATTTTTTTGAGATATTACAAAAAATCATAACCTAGTTTTAGAATATTAAAATTGTTTAATATTATTTCAGCTATGCATCGTAAGCGTAAGTTCCGATAAGTCAAATATGTTAACTAATTTTAACTGTTGTTAACCCTTAATTGGCCGCGTGGAGTGTTTCACACACCATTGCAGGTTTCCAGACTCGTAAGTTTTTTAAAATTTTAACTTACAGCTTCAGGCGTACGTGACGCTCCTTGCGACCCTTTGTGTAGACAAAATTCCGTAAGGTAAGTAAATATATTGTTTTATTAGTATGTATTTAAATGATGGAGGTGGACAAAAATATGTTGTAGTGACATTTATAGAACAAATATATTGGCATTCTAAAGATTATGTTGTAATGTGGTTGTGGTGTGGCTTTTTTGTTTTGAGGTGGCTGTATAATGCCACATGATTTGACTGTTTAAGAGATTGTACAGCAATTGAAAAACAAAGAAGAAGAAGCTATTGATAGGGAGAACATCATGAAGTCATTGCGAAGTGACCACGACTGTGCATAAGAACAAAGCGAAACCAAAAACAAAGGTATTCACACACCACATCAACTATAACAAAAAACGACACAAGAGACTTAAAAGTGAAGATCCTGAATCGGCATTTAGAGCAGTTCGGTCGCCTTCATATAAGCAATGCCATGTATGTCCTAGAATCAAGGACCGAAAACCAAGACGGAATGTTCGAGAGGTTTAAAATATCTGTGTAATGTTCACATAATTCTAGTCTGCTAAAATTGTGATGAAGAAAATAAGCTTTTACGAATGTTGTTGTTTTTTTTTTATTAATAATATGTTTTATCAGTCAGAATGACATTTATTAGGAAATAAGTATGTTCAAGTACTGTCATTAATTAAAATTAAAAAGTCTGATTTCGCGTGTATTTTGTATTTCATTTTACGATTCTACCTTGGGGTGTTGCACACTCCACACAACCACCAATTCCTTAACTTTTTAGCATGACTAATTAAGGGTTAAAAGAGAATTTTGTGCTTGATCTTTTTCTAATATTTGACCATTTGTCACTTATTTGGACGGCAGAATGTCGGTAAATACTGAGTATAAATGATCTTTCATGTTCACTTTGGAGTAGATGGAGTGAAAATATAGACAAGTGAAAAACAACCAAATTATAAACATATACTTTTTATTACTATAACTATATTTACGTGAAATAACAATATAGCGATTAGCTGAACTCTTTGAGTAAATGTAAATAAAATAAAAATGTAAATAACTCATTTTTAACAAAATTGACTTTTATGCTTTTTCTTCCCTGAGGTATCAATGTTTTGTTTCATATCTAAGCTCCCAATTACACTCAAGTTTCCAGTATTACAGCAGTGTAACTACATCTGTGCACTGCTGTTTTGCTGTCCTGTTTTTAACAAGGTCTGTAACATTTAGATCTCATTGTGCTAGCCAATGCTACCCTGAGGGTCGAGCAGGTGGGGTTCCGCCACAGTGTCAATTCATTTGTGGTGAGAGTACCAACTCAACATCTCTCGACCTTCATGAAGGATGAGTTTTCGCCAAAGGGTGTCATGTACCGACGTTTCCGAGGCCAGCTATCGGGCACCCAATACGTGGCAGACAATACGTGGGTTAATTAGTATAGCATTGCCCAACCTGCTATATATTTATATTTATATATTTATAGTGGTCACATTGTGTGGTCCTAATGTGTACTAAATCAATGGACATGAATGAATGGCATGTGTTTTGGAATAGGCATTTTTCATATAAATGTGTACTATCACCAGTCACATTACCATTAACATCCAGTTAAGTTTATGGCCAAGCATACGAGTATGTCTATTATATATTAAAAAAAAATCTTTCTTCCAGATTTCAGAATACATTCGCAGCGGTTGCCAACAATCAACAATAGAAATAGAGCTTTACCAACAACCGGGTCAACAAAATGTG